TATCATGAAGATTCTTGATGAGAAATTTAGGGCAGATAAAAGTACGTCGTCTCATGATGCATAATTAAAATATGGAATTCACTGCCACAGGAAGCAGTAATGGCCTACCGATTTGGATTGCTTCAAAGGGAGACTGGACAAATTTATGGAAGAGGTAGCTATCAGTAGCTGCCATGTGCTACCTCTATTATCAGAGATAGTATGTCTGCATACTCAACCACTTGCTGAGGAGCTTGTGCAGCTGGAACCCTCATATCCATTCTCCTTGAGTGATCCTGTTGACTGCTGGTTTGGCAATTCAAATTTTGCAAGAGACAACTTGGGAGTAGGAGTAAAAATCTGGATAAATAATGAAAATCTGACAAGAAAAAGTAAATGTGCTACATGGAGTATCATGCCTTCCTATCCTTAAAAAAATGAGTGCTTTGAAGATGCTGTCCATATGAACATGAGAGTCTTGAGGGAACCCATCAAGGGTAAGCAGTCCAGCATTCTGTTAACACATTGACCAAGCCGCTGCACATGGGAAACCCACATGTAGGGCATGAGTACAAGAGGACCTTCCCACCCATATACCCCAGCAACTGGTTTATATAGGCATACTGCTTCTACTACTGGGGGCACCATACAGCCATCAGCACTACTAGCCTTTGATAGCTTTCTTCTCCATGAATTTGTCCATTTCCCCTTTAAACTAATCCAAATGATCATCACTACTATATGGTGTATGAAGAAGTCGTCTGCCTTTTTTGCTCTGGTTCTCTCACCCATCACTTGCCTCCAATATTATGAGGAGAAAAATAATATATCTCTATCCACTTTCTCCACAATCCATAATGTTGTACATTTGATATCTCTTCCCTTGTCTTTTTTCTAAGCTAAATAATCTCAGATATTGTAATAATTTCTTACAGAGGAATTGCTCCAGCCCCTTAAGCATTTTCTCACTTTTCCCAATTCTATACTAACCTTTTCTAAGGTGCAGTGACCAGAAGTGCACTCAGCATTGTTAAGTGTGGCAACACCACATATTTGTACAGGGACAGTATGATCTAGGCTGTTTTGTTTTCAATTCCTGTTCACCACAATTTGTCCATATGTTTTCAAGATATTGGTGCAATAGATAAGGTTAAAATGTTTACTTTAAAAAATTATCCACGATTTTCTAAAAGCTGTGTCAGTATCTAATATTTGAGCCACATTCCGCACAAATTCCACCTGTATACAACCACGGAAAACACACTAATAGATCTACAGCTTTGCACAGTGACTCTTCTCATGAACTGAGCAAGACTACCTATACATTTGTAAGTGTAGTAAGTAGCAGACCATTTAGGGCACAGATGCCACTTGGTTTCCAATACCATAGTATCATAATCCGTTTCTTGAGACATCTTGTGACTTTTTTACCCCGGCATGCAGCCAAGGATGATGGATGAGTCCATTAGGATGATCGCTATGACCATGTTTCTCTGGAAGGCCCTTGACCATTCAGCAAGAAGCAATGACTTAAGGAGCTTTTTAGAACTCAATTACACTCATCAGGAGTCTCTATATCCTCTTTGTTCAGCCGTTTCTCACACAAGAGAAAGCAAGCTCATTGCGTATGATTTCTTCCTGCTCCCAAACCTTTGCCTTTATATTTCTAGAAGATAGATACTAAAAGAAAGATTCATTGCCTTCTTATAGAAGGAATGCCTGTATCTTTACTACATATATTTCTGTCTTGGTTACTAACACAGCTGTCATCCTGTTTATCATTGTGTCATGCCAGAATGTCTTGGTTTATTGGCTATGCAAGTTCCCGTTTGCTTACTGTAAGAACCATTCTCTCAAATGTAGTTTGTAAACTGTGGGCATATGAATGCTAGGTAAGAAAAACGCATACCTGCTGAGATCCCACTTACTTGCTTTGGCATTTTGTTTTTTAGAACTATTGCCATGATCCCTGCCAAATGGGGTTCAGAATGTTCTTTATTAGCTAGGCCCCTTTAAAGTCCTCATATGTTTTCCTATATCAATCTTCCCTCCCAGTTTTTTTCCCCTCATCCACTGTTTTCTCATCCTTTTTGGTGTGGTGTCTGAAGATACTGTCTAGTGAGCCATTTATCAATATACTGTAATACTTAATAGTACTAATGCTATAGTTTAGTGTGCCAGAATACATTGACAGATTATAAAACTACACCAATCATTTCCTAAGGTTGACAATTGTGGCAACAGTGAATACTGCACTAATACATTGCATTAATATTCACATGAGACACAAGAGAATCAACTGGAAAAAATATTCTATTCCAAAAACTTAATTCTAAGGTTGTATTATTCTGGGAGCACAGATGCAGCACATTTTTTGCACATTAAATTGGAGGGTCCATTAACACCCCCTCCCTCCAGAATGGAATAGACACAAAGCTCAATATAATTTGAGCCAGTTAAAAAAACAAGCTATGTCCACACTATCAGTGTATTTGAAGAAGAGAATAATAGGCTATAGTACCCTTTTTATGCTTCCAGGAGTGACACAAAACTTCAGACATGATCCACACATTAAGGTACATGTGTCAGGACATGCAATTAAGCAAGAACTACTAAATAAGGCATTGGAACCTGAATAGCAGGTGAGATGCTAAATTGCCCTTCCTTACATAGAAAATGACTAAACAACCTCCAGTGAACAAGGGCATCTACTTAGCACTAAACTCGTAGTGGGCCCACAAGAATAATTACTACTTGAACTATAGCCCACTCCTTGTCCAAAAGAGGGTAGTCAGTCACTTGAAGTATTTTTGGCCTCTTCCTCCTCCATGAAGTAGCTTACAAACATATAAGTAAACAATACTCTCAAAAGGAGATTTATGCAACCTGGACCTAATTCTTGTGGAGGAAAAAAACAAACTCATTTACTGTGAATGCATTCCCTAAGATAACCTACAGTAGCCTTACCTGAAAGGCTGCATAATAAAAGCAACTCTATGAATTGGGACTATTTACAATACAAAATTCAAGGGAAAAGGCAGCAAAGTATAACTTATTACTTCACAGATTCACATGCATTCTAAACTGTAGATGTGTATTTTTCTGCTAATGCAGAGACATGGCATTTGGAGCTGGCTGCTAAATTAAGCATCCCAAGAATCTCAGTGGGTTCTAGCTTTCATAAACTTGGATTTGTATGAACACCATTTAGTGCAACCTTAAATCTGGAGGGCAAGGTGCTACAAGTTTCAATGGACAATGCTTCATGGCCTGTCTCATGGCTAGGAAAAGCAGTGTAAGTTATGCAAAGGAAGCAAATCTGTAAATGTGTTTAATTTGCAAAAATATAACTTTGGCTCTTGTTCTTGCAGAATTGTGATTCAACTCCAATTTGTTTAAAGACCATATCAATGCATACCCACTTTTAAAAGAGAATGTAAAATGCACATATCCCTAGAATACCCCAAAGAGAGTCTTGTAAGATTTCTTCTATGCAAGATCTCCAACTGACTGCCCCAGCAAGAGGGCAAAGTACTACTTCCAAAACACACTGTGGCTTGAAATACAGATTATATTCTACCTCCAACAGCAGCTTTCTGAAAAGATGAGGCCTCCTTGCCTAAACTCCTGACAGCTGATGTGCATCCGCGCATCCCCTTGATTTCCAGCTTTCAAGTACTGCTATTTTCTTAGAAACTTGACATCACATTTTTGTGAAGCAATCTTGTATTTGCAAGTGTTTTCATACTTGAAAAATTCAGAATATTACTATTTAGTCACAATTATTTGTATGTTGCTCTGTTTTGTTTGTGAGAAAAAATACCATTCTGAATCTAAAAACAATATTCATATATGTTTTAAGATGCTGTGCATAATTTTAATAGCAATTAAGAACAAAAGGTTTATCAAGTGTAGTACCTAACTACAATGAACATGGAGAAATATTCTTTAATGCAACTGATGGAAAGTTTCCCCTTGAGAGTTTCAGTGGACTTGGTATCACACATTTCCAAATCCACTAGTAAGCATTAAGTACCAACTTGTGGAAAGGATTCCACAAGGAGAGAAGCAGGTGAACTTCTTTTCAGGGCTTGGCCCAGCTGGACTCCCTTCACAAATTGGACTGTCTGCCATCAACTGTCCTTTATCAGGAAGGGCAGTTATAGTAAACAAATGCTATTAAATGAAGTTGCATAACTCCATTGCACCTTTAAAAAGAAAAAAAATCCAGTTTAATGGAGACTGGGCAGGACTACATGAATGCAACTCTTTCTGCAGTGGTGTGCATGTTTAAACTTTTTTCCAAAAAATCACTTCTCAAAGCAGACATCAGTGTTTAGACATATCGTAATACTTCAACTTTACATTCACCAGTTCCCCAGTCCTGCAAATTTTCAGCTGCTTACTCCTTAAACATGTAGATTGATATTAATTTGAAAATGAAAATGTATCCAAGTATTATAGATATACAGTGCATATTTCTCTGGTTCTCAGGCTAAGAGCATAGGCCAATAGTAAGCCAACCCACTACTGCCAAGATGCTTCTTTCTGCATCGCAGAATTAAAGATGTGACTTGCTGCAGAACCTGCCCAACAAAACAACACAGCAGAAATAAGCAACCTGTTATTTTTCAGATGTTTTAATCTTGAATTCCCATAAGCCCCAGCTGGCATGACCAAGGATTATGGCAGTTTTAAATTTCTTTTTCATACATATTTATCCACCCTTTCTTCCAAGGAGCCCGATGCAACTTACATTCCTCTTCTCCATTCTATTCCTTACCACAATCCTATAAGGCAGGTTAAACTTAGAGTCAGAAACCATCCCAAAATCACTCAGTAAGTTTCATGACCAAGAAGGGGAACTAAAACACAGCTCTTTTTTGAGTCCCAGTCCAACATTCTAGTTCCAAACAACTGGAAAGTACAAGGTTGTTTTCCACTGAAATAAAAATTAACATGAGAATGTTTCTTCCATTTAATACACAGTGAAATTTTATAAAATACATTAATAACACTAGTTGTTGGAAAACAGTCTTTATTCAGATAGTGGAAACATTATTAAATATATACAAGTGCTCAACTACAAAAAGATTTTAAAGGAATGAATGGGTTAAGGAAACATTTACTTTTAAAGCTGAGGACAACACCAATTCCTGGACATGTTAAAAATAAAAGAATATAGAGTATGCAGGATGACAAACACTAGTTTCAGTGAAAGCATTCAACGAAAGATCTTCATTTAATTCTATGCAAATCTTGCCATAAGCAGATGAAGGAGTCTAAAGAGAAAGAAATCACTGAAGCTTTTGGCCAGAAGTTAGGTAGACCTGCAATAAAGAGATATGAAAATAGAGAGTTTTCTGAAACATAACAACCCAAATGAATTTTCAACAAAATATACAGGTTAGAAGAGAATTTAAAAATAAAAAGATGCTCACTACTTCCTTGCACTTCTAAACTTCTCAAGCATTGATATAGCACAATTATGCTAATTTAAAACTTTCAAATAGTAGCAGAAAGGCTTTAATTTAGGAGACACTGTCATTTAGATCTTGGTACAAATTTACTTCCATGGATCACTCTAAGAATTCAACATCTGGTTGAAGGTTGGCATAAGCAACATGTCAAAAAACATATTAATGTTTCAGAAATTCATTTATACAAAGAAACAAGTCCAAATAGATGCCTGTCTAAATGCATTCCAATTACATTACAATTATTTTGCAAATACACAGATATGCTCTGCCTTGTCTCAGCTCATTACCGATTCAAACAATTTGCCCTTCTGGGATCAATTGTTTGCTAATAAATAATTGTTTGCAGCCACAAAATGATATTAAGTACTATTCTTATTAGTTTTAATTCTACATCCTGTAATATGATTCAAAACTAACTAATTCCCAAGAGTCTAACCGTAACCTTGCTGTGTTTAACAGCCCAGGAAATGATGAACCATCTGTTTTAGAAAATAATGGACAGCCAAGAGGAAATATTGTTTAATTGTAGATTAACCTCCTCAGAAAGCAGAATGAACCATCCCTATAATTAGCAAACATAACACAAGGATAGAAACAGCTGAAGTCAAAGTCATATGGCCAGGTCTTCAATCCACTAAAGGCTGTTCCCATGTTACAATTCTCATTAATGCAAGTAAATTGCAGGAACGCCCTTGTTAACAAAAAGTGGAATGGTGGAATGGATCAATTAAAAAAAATCAGAATGAAAGTGTGTCTGCATGCACACATGCAAGTAGTACTTGTGTCACCATAAACAGAATATAGTGGAAAACAGTGCATAGCCAGGGCTGGAAATTAAGGCTTGCATCTAAAAGTACAGTGTCGGCTCTTAGAAAACTGGAAAATTAAGAATGATTAATAGTTTCTTTTGATATTCTAAATTAAAATATTTGGAGAACTTGTCTTATCAAAATAAAAATTAAAAAGGGGAAAAATCTTTGCAAAATATTTCATGGAATTTATTCATCTGCACCTTAAGGAAACTTGACACAAGGTTGCACAGTTGGGACAACTTTAACAGATTTCAGTGTGGTGGAGCTATCATATGGCAAGATATACATGGGGAAAAGATGCTTTAGACTGCAATTCATACATGCTTAGCTGAAAATTAGTTTCATTAAAATCAACAGGGCTTGCAGGGTTATGTAATCCAATTAGAATTCTACACTCCCTTACAGTAGAGTAAATCTCATTAAGTTCAGTGGGAGTTGCATTTAGTAAACAGCACTAGGATTGATGAGTAAGCTCAGCAGAGTTCCAGAAAGCAATTTTACTGATTCTCCCTTCCCTTTATGCCACTAGAAATGCTGCTCTAGAGGGCAGGAGAACCTCCTCAAACAGTGCAGGAGGTGGTACTGAGGAAAAATCCACAAACATCACTTTTAGCCCTGTTTCTCCAATGGGAAGCTAGGCTGAAAGCTGTTTCCATTTGTGAATGAAAGAAACCCTTCTTTTCATAAACAGGCATGATTTAATTCAACCTTATATATATAATTTTGAAAGTATAAATGGATAGTTCTATAAGCGAAAGTCGTTATAATGTTATTCAAAGCCTCTTCACTGGTGCCAAGATCCTAGCAGCTGTTACATGATATATTTATTATGTTTCCTATCAGATAATACATGAAGTATAAAAAAATGCAAATACATCCAGAGTAAATCTCTGCAGATAAACAAAGGAGTGAATTTTGAATTAACTTGGACACTTTCTATTAATTTTTGTAAATAGGGGTGGAATTTAGATAACAAGTTCAGATATTTTCATACTACTTTTATATTGCACATGTCAGTTCAATCTAATTTTTAGATTTACTTTTTTTTTTGCTTGTATCATACTTGAATAATTTGATTTCCTTTCCTATAGTAAAACGCTCCTTGGATACTTCTGGACTTTTACTGTACACCCTTTGAAAAGTGAAAATTACAAAGATTAAAAAGAACATAAAAACCTTGGGACCCCAAGTACAAGCAGTAATTTGATGTTCCAAGATATAACCAGCAACTTGTTCCCCATTCTGTTCCCTCCTCCACTAGCAAGCAGGACTTATGCTTCACAGTGAAAAGAGGGCTGCTGACAGGACCAACAGATTCAGAGCATATATACCTATTTGAAGTCCACCATGTTTAGGTCTTCACGGAAGACACCACTAAGAATCCCACTGGTTTCTTGAAGTGTGACAAAAGATCTTCTCTATTATAGTACCTATCTTGTGGAAGTCCCATCAAAGAAAGCAACTCAACATAATGCTCTTCCATACAAAATTATTTTAGTTGTTTTATTGCACCAATTTGTTGTTTTTGTTTTCACACTTTACCATTAGTTGCCTTGAGCAAAGGCTCTCTGGAAAACCAAGATAATAATTTCGGAACTCACAGATCATCTATGTCTCCACCAGCTTATTGTTGGTATGCATTATATGTTGCTGAAAATAACTATTCTGAAAAGCTTAGAGCCTGTCATTCATCACTGACAAGAACTTTACCCCTAGACTCAATAATGTCGTTCTATTTTACCTATCTAGTTTTGGAACATTTTATGAAATGAACAGCAAGTAACAAAACATCAAATGGGAGAGCACTCAGTCACCTTGATCTCGCAATTTCTTACAGAGAGAAGTAGATCAGTCCACACAAAGCTTTCCCACCTACAAGAACCCTGCCCCCACATGCTTCAGTGAACAGAAGTGCTCCACACGCAAAAAGATAAAGTACAGAAGGAAGCCTGTTCAAACAAGGGCTGCAAATTATGGATGTTGCATATGTCTAAATCCCTGACTCATTCTCTTTCACACACAGTATAAGAGAATGGTGAGTTTGATATTAAGATGGGCTTACTGTTTTACATATACTACAACATAAAGACTAAGTAACTTTCTTTCCCTATAAGCAGTTATACCTGTTCCTTTTTTCCTTCCTGAAGCCATATATGCTAATGGCTACAATACAGCTGTAGGGAAGTAAGGATGAAAAATATCCATTCAAACACTATAAGGATATGCATTTTCTATAATACATTCAACTGGCAAAAGTGACTGGAGGAAAGCTGAATGTGCATAGTAGGTAAGGGAAAGAACACTATATATATAGCTTTAGACCAAATGCACTCCAGCAACACTACAAAAGCTAGTCTTACCTTTCCTTGCAAAAGTAGCAAATACTGGACATGAAAGAGTTACACATGCCACTTTAAAATCATTTCCTGGTAATCCTACAAAGTTACTATGACCATCTCATGCTCCGTGTATTGTAAATGAAAGTCTAGATCTATTTACAAAAAAGGCTGCTAACAGTTTGAAATCTGAAAGATGCAATATAATTACACTGGCCACATGAGTTATCCTGAACTCTTCAACTTAATTTTAAAGGAATGAGCTAATAATAATTCCATGGCTTCATATAATAGTGTGTGACCAAAAAGAATGAGTTTGACATTCTCCTACAAAACAAGTAGACAATTTTATCCACCACCCATCTATCAACCTACGGATATTGAAAGCTTGGAGAGAACAAGATAAAATCAACTCCAGTCCTACTGTCAAGCTGAGCTATCTAACAGAAATCAATAACCCTATTCATGAATTTAGGAAAATTAATAAATCCTAGAATAAATGCTAGAAAAAGCTCAAATACAGGTGAAGCACACTCACTTAGGTTTTGTTTCGGCATCTGTCACTTGGCGAATATAGATACCATCTTCAGGATGCTCAATGTCATCCATTTCATACATATATGATGATGCTATTGCAAGGGTAGTTCCATCATTACTGAAAGCCAGTGATGCTATGCTGGTAGGATAGCGGTGGAACTGGCAGAGTCTCTTTTTATTGAATGGATCCCAAATATTGACAAAGCCATCAGAACCACCTATAAATGTGTGAAGAAAAACACTATTAGGAACTAACATTTCTGATTTCTATATATTTTACTGCTTGTATTAACAGTTCAAGGAAATTCCAGCTATATACACCATGGAAAGAGCACCAAAACCAATCACGTTATATAAGATAGCAATCCTACTAAATTATGACATTGAAACTTTCAGTTCCTACTTAAAGTATAAATTGTTAAAGGAGTCAATTAAAGCTTTTCACACGAAAAGACATATATTACAACAGAATTTTTGTATCTGATCATCAACACCCAGCGATAAGACAAAATTTCATATTACCTGTAGCAAAAGTGTTATGGACATTGTGGAAAGAGATGGCATTGACTGGATAAATTTGCTCTATGTTATTCTCCTTCAGTCTGTGACATTTGAAAGCATATTTTTTCTTCTGTACTTCCAAACTTGGGTCCAAATATTCAACTGCAACACGACCTTCTATAGAGCTTAACACATAACCCTATGGGACACACAGAAAAACTTTACTTACTGCTATGACCCCTTTTTTTCTCTTTTTTTTCCCTAAGGCAACTGCTCTAAACCAGGAAAAAAAAACAGGTGCCTTGAGTCCTAGAGAGTAGCAAATGTAGATTGTTTCTTTACCACAGTCTCCTGTAAAGATTTCAATTCTGACATCATCTATGAAAACGGAGTGCACACTAGTAAAAGAAACTCACCAATGTGTGAAAACACCCCACCAAAAGACTACTCACTGAATGCCTCCTCTGCATAAAACAATTCTACATTTTCTCTTTCTTACGATTTGTCTTGAAACACCTCTTAGTTTTTTCCTTCAAAAAGACAAAAAAATAGCAAGACACTATATTGACCCCTAGAGAAGAACATGACAAGAGAAACAAAGACGCTTGTTCATATGTTAATACCCCTGGCAGCTTTGATAGGTACAGGGAAGAGTCATCTCCAGCCAGAAATGACTCCTAAGTAAATAGTTTTCAACCAGTCCCTGTAACAGTATTTCCTAGAACACTTATTTTCCTAGAACCTAGCATTTATTCTAGTCTAGTGTTCCTGCATAATTCAGACTTCTTTATGATAATTCTGGAATTAAGTGCTATATTAAAGTTATTATAGTTTTCAACTACATTAGCAGTTTCAAAATCTCCAAAGCTAAGCAAATATAACATTTGTTTTAGAGACAGTAATGAAGACAGCAATATAATTAGCAAAACTTAAACCTTTGAAGGAAAAAGCATGAAAGATGCAAGGAAAACCATTTTTTTCCTTCAGTTGGCTTAAATATGAAGTATTATAGCTCAATTTATATACCTGTTTGTTAGGAAATGCTCTGATGCAACGGGTCTGATATTTAAGACTTGATTCTCTTCTTTGCTGAACATAGCCCATATTCCGTAAGTCCCACACAAGAACTCTCCGACCAGCTGTTCCCACTATCAGTCTGTCACCAGACACAGACAATGTATACACCTTTGAAAAAATACAGCAATATTACCTTTTACCTCTCCAATAATGGGATTTGTATTTGGACAACATAAAGGGGATGTTAAATGATGACCTGTTCCATTAACACATGTAACAGCAGCAGATATTTGCAGAATGCTAAATACCCCAATGCTTTATAGAATGCTCTTTCTAGTACTGAATCAATACTGTCATCTTCTAAGCCCAGGTTAAAGCTTTCCTCTGTTTCTTTGGATTTGGACTCTTTAATGCAACAGTTCAATTATTTGTTGAATTGTTTTGTTTTATGGCATAGTAGCATTTAAGAGTGCAGGCCCATTCATTGTGCCCTCAATGATTGGAAGCATCTGGACTTGGAAGCTTCCAATCAACCAATGGAAGGGCAAAGGCTGTCTTCAGGAATCATAGTTATTGAACTGACCATGATTTTCTCACAAAGTTACACATTCATGGTTATGCTTTGGAAGTAAAATGCCACTGAGAAAGAATTCATGTACAAGAAGGAAGAGGCACAAAACATAGAAGATTTCAGGATGTACAAGTCTAATTGTATCTTCATGAAAACCATATGAATAAATCTGAAACAAATATACTGTTAAGTGTTCTGTATTCCAAAAGGTCAGTCAGGAAAAAAAATTCAGCTTTTTTAGTGAACAGACAGAAAAACTAGGAATACCTAAAACTAAAAACTAAAGACTAAAACTATGCTACACTAAATATCAGACTGTTTACTCATGGTATCTCAGCCTTTACAACTGATAAAAAGAATTCAAAGGATGGTTAGCAAGACATTGTAAAACTCCAATAAATTTAACTCTTAACATTTATTAGTTCTTTCAAACTATACAACCCTTTAAAGAGACACACCTTGTTATTGTTTCATTTGCTTACGAAGCAATCTGGTACCCAATTATACAACCTTGCATTCTACAGAACCTAAACATAAATTAAATTATACATTTGTATTTCAAAGTTTAACAAAATGACATTAGCCCAAATGCCAACGACAAATCAAATCATTACACAAAAGGGAATTTATAGTTTATAATGTGTTCTAACATCAAAAGAGCATTAAAGAAAAGTATATACACGAAGGGATGTTAACTATCTTAAATCTTTTATACAAACAAACTGAAGTCACACCTATATTCTTTCTATACCCCACCACCATAAATCAAATGAAACCAATGTCACGAAGCAGGCCAGGTGTACACATTTATCAGAGACACTATTAACAAAAAGTGACATAATGAACCTTCCTGTACCAATATGAGGCCTGACTCAGTGTGGCTGTCTGTTATATAGCATTCTACAAGCAATTCATCACAGTTTTCTACATGTTATATGTAACTATAAATCACAAGTAAAAACAATGCAATTTTATTCTGATCAAAGTTCTTCCTAACAGATTCAGATTGTATAGTGGCTATAGTACTGAGCTATTCAGACATTATGTAGACCAGTCAGACAGTATGCTATTATAACTAGAAAGTATTTAAATAGTGACAAAATCTAGAATAAAGTTTTACACTTGCATGCATCTGGTAACGAAAATGGAAAGACTAGCAAGAGTTCACATATAAAACTAAATGAATACTATCAATACAGACACTGCCTAGTGAGGTGAACTACTTAAACCTTATCTCATCTTTTTCTGTTAAAATATGCATTTATTCTTACCATGAGATTGTGAGAATATAGTAAAATAAGTTACATAGTTCAAATTATTCTTTAAGGGTTATTGTTGGCCACAACTTTTCCTGTCACCCTCCCCCCCCGCCCCCGCCCAACTCCTTTTGCTTGTTAAGGCAAAGCTAGTCCAGGCTGAAAACCAGCCACTTTTGACTTTCTCACTCACGCTGAACAGAAAAGATAAAAATAACTGAGTTGTAATATTTAAGCTTCCTGATTATTGCTAAACTGCCTTTTGAAGCACAGTGCCCTCACATGGTGGTTTAAAAGATGCTAAAACACTTAAAAAATCAATTACATGTAACGCACACACACACACACACACACAGAGCAAGCAACAGATTGTTTTTAGGTACAGTACAATTCAACAACACAGGGACTGGAATATTCAAAATTTTGGGAGTAGGTGTTAAACCAGCAGTGATGAGGCCACACAACTCCCTACAGAAGTCCAAAGATGTGAGACCACCGCTGAGAAACAACTGTCCCTAGTACATGCCAACCAATTATCTTACTCTCAGGTCAACAAACAGGGCCCTCAACATTGATCTTCATGCTTAAGCAGGTTCATAAAACTGTACACAGTACTTCAGATGTGGCGCCATACCATTTCGGACTGTAAAGGACAAGAAGACCAGTACCTTGAATTGATCCCAAAAATGAATAGACAACAGGTATATTCAGAACAGGTGCAATGCAAGCTAACTGCCTGGCTCCCACAAGTGTTCTAGCTGCTGCATTTTTAACCAGCAACTGCTTATGAAACATCGACAAGGGCAATCTAACAGTGCAGCAGAGCAATCTAATCTGAATGTGATCAAGGCATGCATCACTGTGGCTTCAGGTAGGGCAGCAATTGTCCAACCAGCCTAAAATATTCCTGGCAACCAGTGTAACTTGCACACACTTAGCACAGAGCCTAGAAGTGTCCTATGACTCTTAACTGGGAGTCTGAGCTTCACCCAGAATCAGATCTAAGTCTCCACCTATATCCAAACAGATATACCAGCAAAACTATCTTTGTATACCTCTATCCTCGCTCCAATGTTAAGTGACTTACCACCACCGTGCAATATGGACAATGCTGCAAATGGGCTTCTATGATACAGCTTTAGCTTAAGAGAACTCCCTGCTATACTCACAGCAATTATGTACGAAGAAATTGGCCTGGATCAGGCTTAAGGGGAAAAAACGTATTTCTAACTTGGTTTGATATCTTAACTTGTTAATTTGTGCCAGTTTCTCTACATTTGAACAGAACAGAAAACTAAACTACAATTTAATGGAAGATGCCAAGCTTTCCTTTGTGTGGAAAAAGGAGGAAGTAGTTCTTAAGTCAAAGACTCTTAATAACTCATGGTTGGTTTGCTTTGAACCATGCCCTTAGGTTTTCTGGGGTTATGAAGATTGAATTAATTGTTGAGGTTTAATAAAGTAGTTACTGTATTTTTATGGTATTTTAAAGCTCACTAGCAGTATTTTCCCTCCATATATTCACTACAAATAATGAACCAATCTGAGACATATTATACAGGCAGTCCCTGGGTTATGAACAAGTTCTGTTCCTACAGAAATGGAAATTCATTATTAAGTCAAACTGTGAGTCAGATCACGTATCAGCAGTCCTCCACATTCATGCAGGTTAGGGGCAAAGAACCACCATGAAAGTGGAAAAGCAGTACATAGCTCCACTTCCCCCTGCCACACCACCCAAACTCACCAGTACCCCCCATTTGCAGCAAGGAAATGCCAGAGATATCTCCCTATCCAGATGGGCAGAGAAGGAAAGCATGTTTTTGAGGCCACCCTCTCTGTCCTTTAGCTTCCTCTCTCTCTATGGTAATGCTTTGGAGGCCTTCCTTCTCTCCTCTTCCTTTCTCTGTGATGACGATTTTCTGCACTAATGTTAAAAAATGTAATAGGCTAAATGGCATTTCAGTTGTAAGTATGGCTTGTTTGTGACTTGGATGTGTGTAATTTGGGGACTACCGGTACTTTAAGTGCTCAAATGTGTCCCTGGACTGCATGCAAAATTATGTCACAGACATTGATATGTCTCCTCAGAAGTTCCACTGAGTCCAATGGGTATACTCCTAGGAAAAAAACATATAAGACCACAGCTTCATTTTTAAATACCAACCTTTTCAGGCTGAGAAAATGTTCCAGCATTACACGGTGTCCTAGGATCCCATAACTTGACCGTTTGATCCCAACTTCCTGTTACCATTACATTCACTTCTGGACAATATTCAACACATCTGATAGGAGCATCATGAGTGCCAACAAGGTTTTCTGTTTTAAAAAAGTATATCAGTACACATAGCTATTAGCACATATAGCTATACCAGAGAGATAGTCAGATTTAATAAGAACAGAACAACATTAATACAGCGGTAACCTAGTCTGATCTGCCATTCACTAGGATATGTGCATGCTGAGACATCTTTCAAAGGACGTTTGATCCTCTAATCTTCGCAATAGATACACAGTTCTAAAGTGTTAAATGTAGACTAATAGATATCAACTCAGTGTTTCAAAGAAGCTTATGGGGGAGGGCTGGTACCCATGCAGAGACTTTGAAATCAACAAAAAAGATTTGTGCACCTATCTCTGCTGGACTTCTCTGAAAATCCTAAGCATGAATAGCATATTAGAAAGATCTAATGATCAGCAAATGTGCCATGAGCACATAAGTTCATACCTTTGCCACTTGTGGGTAATCAGGAACTTTCAACAAAACATTGTCAATAAAACCTTTATTCTACACCATTATTCATTGTATCTATAGTATTAAACTGTTTTAGAAGCTTTTAAACTGATGCTGAATACTTACTCCATAATACCTTTCTTTCCCATGTTGGAGAAAGTATCAAATGAGTACATTTTTTAAAAATCCTCTAAAAGTTATTTTAAATAGCTTCTGGGTAACAACAGCTTTTTCGTCTATAGCAATATCCCAATTCTCTAATACCTTTAAAGGTTTTAAGCAACACCCATGTGGAAAATGCCTATTCATTTATAACATTAAGCCCATGTAATGGTTCATTTCTAAACAAGTTTAAATTGAAAAAGACTTGTAATACTAACTGGGGCTTACTGGGAATTGTAGATCTTTTCTTCTAACTTGTATAGGGTTTTTTTTTTTTTTGGTTTTTTTTTTTTTATAAAGAGACTTCATAAGAGACTTTTTTTTAACATTCAGCTAGACTTCTTTCCAATATTCAGGTGTTCCTCTATTTGTCTTTACCAATCACAACCATTATCAGTCTTGAAAGAGATCACCTTAGCAGGTCAAACTATGCTATTGCTAGCAAATGCACATAACACTGCACAGGTTGGAACAATTTGATCAAAGGCAAACTTCAAGCACAGTTACGCAGCTGTCAGTGTGTGCCACAATGTGCTCACCCCATCTAAGGGAAGCCATGCCATGCCATGCTGGATTTGAACACCTCCCCCAGGGTGGGAACAAGAGAAAACATAAATGCTTGCAAAAATTGAAAAATATGCAAAATTAGTACCATTTACAGATTGAAAGCTACTTTGTTGCTTTAGGAACATAAATGGCATTAGGTTTAACTTGATTTCACATAAAATCATGATGTTTGGTCTATTAAGATGCACATTATTCAAACAATACTGACAAGCTGAATTTATATTTTCAAATTTTTATTTTGGTGTGTGTGTGTGTCCTGAATTATAATGAATCCCATTGGTTTTGCCAGTTTATGAGAAACAGGCAAAAATAAATAAAAACAGAGGAAATCACATCTCCGCTCCTCTTCTCCATGGTTTCCGGCAGACATAAAGTACTCATTCTCATAAAATGAACTAAGAAAGTGGGGTTCAAGGACTCTCTGGGCAGCTCACAAAACATAGTTTCGTCAGTCTCATTTTCTGAACTACTACTGCCAGTTTCAGTTTCTACTTCCTTTCTCTTATTTTATCAGCTATCATGGTCTTCTATATAAAATTTGCCCAGATTCAAACAAACTTCTTTAACTTCTCAAACATCAGTTTATTTCTTGATTTGATGTGACAATTTCCAAATATTTACAAGTTTTCTTCACATGCTGCATAAGATGGAGAAATCTGAACCAGGCAGAAAATAAGGAGTCAAAAGCAGTGTTGTACATCTTGCCATCATACTGCAGGAGGGCTATGTCTGGCAGAATCCTTACAATGGACCAAATCCCTGAAGATACTCTGCATTCTAAAACAGCTGAAAATACCTTTCCGGCATCAAGTCCAAAGCCTGTTGCTTGTTTTGAAAGCCAGTCAAATGCTTCAGTGCTATCATCACTTACACTTCTGCAGCCCCTGAAACTTGGATCCATCAGATTTGCAGCAGCACATATTGTATAGATGGCAACAAAATTCTTCCTGTTTCTTGATAAAATCTTTCATTTTATTTCATTTTGCACTCGTAAATCAAGACACGCTTAGATTCTCAAAACCAGATTCTCAAATCTTGGCAATTTGGTAAAGAATTTCTAACAAAAGTGCATTGTCTAATTCAGATGTATTGATTACTGTATAAATTGGTTTTAGACTCTTCAGGGAGTTCTGTAGCTTAGCTCAGAAGACATCCACATCAAGTACAGGATTATTCACATTTCTGGATACTTCAACATCTTCAACTATTACTGTTTCTTGAAGAGTTTCATTTTTTAGCCAACTTTCAGAGGAGATAATCACTGCCCACAATCAAGTCCCACTACAGAATTTTGGTGTCACTTTGCATTCTTTTTCTTCTTGAAGACTGCAGCTACAAGTAGCTTTTACATATTTTATAAGTTATTTTATTAATCTACAGATCTTTTGGAGGGTGTCCAGTTTCATGTTAAGAAGTTAGCCCATGACATGCATGGCGGCATCCTATTGCGGTAATATGTGGATGCTTATCTATTATGCTCTCCCATGGGCTTTCATATTATATCCGATGTCAGTCAGCAAACCAAATGCTATACTATGTCCAATACTCCATAGGATTCCACAGATTTTTTAACTGACATACTCTGCAGTATGTCTGTTCAGTCCTGTTTCAATGCTTCTGTAAAACTGGTTGAGGTGCTATCACAAAATTTAGGATTCCTTCTCCCTCACTTTGTCGGTCCATCTGAAAATATTACAAGATACAGTGCTTTGTTGCTTTCTCCTTGCCCAGTTACACTGGACGTTCATGTTCTGACTGTAAAACAGGATTGCTCAAAGAATGTCTGCCTGACAAATTAAATTACTGATGGTCTTAGTAATTTAAAAGCTTCTTGCCAGTATGCATTTTCAGTTATTGGTAATGGGATTCCAGAAGAATTTATTGCTCTTCCAAGAGGTTGTTCAATTTTTCCCCCTAGACTTCAGGTGCCATTTCAACTCCAGATGAAGCTACTGAGTATTTTTGGATGCAGTTTTCTGTAATGTTTGTTTAGTTGAGGATACTGTTGCTTATCAAGAAACTCTTTGTAATGATACTGATGTTACAGAAGCAGAAAGCAGACTGCTGAAGAAAGAATGCTGAACAAACTTTCCCTTTCATCAGCATGGTCCTCCTTACTTAGGTTGATGAAGGATTTTGTAAGCTTGCAGGATACTTCTTACATGTTCCAACCTAATGGCATTTGGAAATACATATTTATTAGATAGTATTTGCAAATCACATTCTTTATCCTCACAAGAACTTGCAGTGTAGATATGTGTCCAAATGCCAGATGTTGGACTCATCAATTTGCTAAGGAAAGAGAAAGAAAAATAATTTAGTGACTAGCTTGCCAGAAAATATGGTGGGAATTAGGGGGTGCAAGAAAGCATCCAATTCATGGGAATTAAATTATGATTTATATAAAGGTTATGAAGAGAAACTAATGCAGTTAAAATATGGTTCAATTTTCAGTTCAAATAAATTTACATTCTTACCTTTCAAATAAATATATTTTCAGCTCCTTTTTATTGCTCTATCATTTCTCCCAATCTTTTGAAGCCTAGTCAACAGGACAGGAACAGATCCACCAACTGTACCAATAAGAGGAAGCTCACAAGCAAAGAAGAAACAGAAATCTACCTTCACACATGATAATAATAGAGTCCTTTAAATGCCAAAGTGTATCTTGCTCTTGCATTTGAGAATTGAAGTGTTAATTTATAGCCCAGGACTTGCTTGTCCTCCATGTACAAGAACTGTGAGGATCTGATACTTGAACACTTATTACACAGTTTTTTGAAAACATATGAACACATTGTCTGAAACATGTTATACAACATTCTGCAAGAAAATATTCCATAAAACAATTATTTTTCCAATGTTTATCAGATTGATCTGGTAAAACAATACAGTAAAAGAAATATGAATTCTCAGCTTTGTAAGAAAACTGTCTTTTAATACCATAAATATCAACCCCTTGAAGCTAGCCTGAAAACTTTTCTATTTCAGTATAGAAAAGTAAATATTTTCTCAGAAGTAATACCAGTGAGTTTATTCTCAGGTTCATACAATTACTGCTGAAGCACAGAATGTTTTGCCCTACATCAGCAGATTCTACTATACTTCTAGATTAGTTTACCTTGATCAGTGTTCAAGTCGTGCATCTTTAACTGTCGGTCTAATCCTCCACTCCAGGCATGTGTAGGGTCCTTCAAAGGAAGAAAATTGTTCATTTATCTGCAATCCAAAGACTAACAAATATCTTTAAAAAGCACTTCTTCAATGCCACCTGAGGTCAACAAAACAACATTCTATTTATGAGTAGTCTTTCGAGCTTATACATATGAGAGTTTGGGTAAAGGTTACTATCCAATCAGCTAGTGCAAGCGAGGTTCTCATTTTACTTTATGGCAAACAAAGGAGTAGTGCAAATGAACAGAAAGTACCATGGTAGATCACAGAGTTGTTAAAGAAGCTAGGCAGGGTGCTAACAATCATCCTCTGAGCAAATGGTTTGGACTACTTCACTGGGTGAAGAGGAATGTTTTCAAGCACCAGCCCACATGATGATAAAAAATGAAAGTTAGAAAATAAATTCTCAATAATTTAACATGGTTGACTACACTATTCTGATAGTCATTGTTCAGATATATAGCCAAACTTGATGACATTCTGTGATTCAACACTTAAAACAGGAATGGAATACTTTATTGGTTATGAAAACAAAAGAGAGAGCAAAAGTGTATTCTAGTCAGTTACATTTAATTAATGTATTATTAGAAAAATCTCAATATGGGAACTTTGGTAAAAAAAAAAAAAAAAGAGGAGGAGGAGGAAGAGGAGGTAAGACTTGTTTGAATAACTTTTCTTCAACTGCTACAATTCAAGCCCATTCTTAGTATTTTCTTTTTTCATTCCCTATCACAGCAAAACACCAGAATCACAATAGCACAAAACACAAAAATGCCCCTAACTCACAGCACAAATAATTAATCAAAGGGCAAGATTCAGAGGAGAGGATACAGAAAAATGCAGAGTATTTCTGAGCACGTAAAGGGGGTTCTTGTCAAAGGCCTATTGACAATAGGGAGGAAATTAAAAGCCTGTGTACATGCAATACATGCCACATGGTGCTTTCAAATCCTGCTTAAACCTTTGAGCCATGTTCAATTAAACCAATTGCATCTTGCATTCTACCTTGGTGCTTCCAACAAGTAAAACCACCTAAGCGGTAAAGTAAAAGACTTACATAAAAAGCACAGTCAAGTACAGCTCCTGTATGTTGATACTTTAGTCTCATGGTGTTGGCTGGAACATCATACAATCGAACAGAAGTATCCCAAGATGAAACAAGCAAAAACTGAGATGTGTTAGGACTGAATTTCACAGATGAGATTCCATCTTCTGGTGGCTGGTTCAGCTTAAATTCATTTGACCCAGTCATCTGAATAAGAATTGTACAAAAGTTAGCTAAGGAATTTGAAAACATCACCTTAAATTATCTTTGTGTAAAATTTCTAGATAGGTGAATTTAGGAAATCCTATTAAAATCTTACCAATTTAGAGCCTTGATGTTTATAGAACACTAAATTGATGTAAATGACTCAGATTACATAAAATATAAGTACTATGATTGTTGTAATTATATTTAGTGGCTATGAACTTCTATTCCAAATGTTTCGGATGCCTACTATGCTGTAACAATTACCTTTTGATACTTCAAGAATGTGTGAGGGAACACTTTACTTAGTAAAAGAAACCTGTGTGACACAGTATCAGAACAGTCAGGATAATGCCAAGCTAGATATATAATTTTATTTTTTAAAAAACATCTGAACCAACTTAGAGGCACATAATGCTGAGGGGAAAAAATAACCAGGAAGGAGGGGCAATAAAATGGGAGTAGACAACACACAGATATTTACAAACTCAGAAAAATCTCATTTACTAAAGAAGAGAATTCCTGCTTCACAATAAGAAGCTATTTTAAATGGTCAAGAGAACAGAAATGAAAGTTGCCCATATATGTGAATAAAGGAATTAACTAAATGTAGCTGGAATTGGGCACAAATATGTCCAACACATGCATTCACACAATCAATCAATGGAGAAATCATCACAAAAATAGAGAAAAATATCCCAAGACAGACTAGTTTTAAAAAGGCAGGGGGGATATGGTGAGATAATGCAATTGAGTGGCTGGAAAGAGAAACATTTGTTACAAGGCTCTATTTGCATATACTAATTCTAGTTAAATTATCTGAGTGTTATTGCCTAATTAAATAAATAACCACATAGAAGAAGAAGGTATCAGCAAATTCAGGCAACCTCAATGTTTGTGACATACAAAAACAACACTCCGATGTGCTCAACAGCCAGAGAATGCTAGTTAAATATCAGCAGCTAAAAAAATAGAGGAAGAGAGGTAACAGTATAAGAACAGCGCATGGATGAACCAAGCTAAGGCACACACCAAGCTATTTTCCCCCGGCTGTAAATGAATGCTGTGATTTTTCCATTTATTTGTATGGCAGGGAAGGAGTCCTCCTTGTCAAAATTTGGTTGGAGTAAGGTCAAGTCCATCCCCTATCAAAGACCATCGAAACAAGGACGCTAAGAGGAGAGCAGTAAGCAATCCATCCATTATTTTAAATGGAAGAAAAAACCATCTAGAGGCACAGTGAAGTCACCACCCACCAAGGACCCTTGAAGATATAGGATCCTTGGTCCTCCAAGCCAATTCTGGGGAAGGCAAGCTTGTACTCCCATTCAAGTCAATGAACTTATCTAATCTTTATCTTATATAGGAAAGAGAAAATCCTCTCTGCGGAAAAAGGGCTGGAGGCAAGTGAACCTCATCTCCTACTTTCCCCAGAGGTCCTTGGTGAGGAATTCACTCCCCCCACCGCCACCAATTTTCAGCAGGGAGGATTTTTTTTCTATCAATTCTCTACCTATTCCTACTAATGGAAGGCAAGAAGGAAGGCAGGCAGATAGGCAGATTCAGAGGCAGGGAGGGAGGGGAGTCAAAGAAAGCAGTGGTGTGGAACCTGAGAGACAGATGGAAAGAAAAGGCAAAGACAGGAAAGAGAGAAAAGAGCCAGGAAGAGAAAATCCAGGGTGGCAGAAAGGGTGCCCATTCATGCACACACACCAAGACAGAAAATTTGGGTGGGAGATCATTCCTATCATTTCTGTGATTAGCCCCCATCACCTATGGCATCCAATTTGTGATGTCACCCAGGGCTGTTTTTCAAAATGACAAATGGCTCACATGCCTAAAAGGGTGGAGATCCCTGGGATAGAGAAACTGGGGAAGAGTGCATCTCTCACTGACTAGGTTCACACAATATGTTAAACCATGTGGGTTCATGAGCCCAGGTAGCTTCCTGCATTCTCCCAACCTGAGGAAACTGATAGGTTGATAGACTGTCAACTGAAGCCATGGTTTGCACTAGGGTTTACAAGCCAGCCCTGAGCTTAAAGTGTCATTCAAAGTAGCCAAAGCAGACTATGACTCGGTAGTGGAACCTTAGGACTGCAGTGCTGTGAACACTTAACCTAGGAATAAATTTACTGGAACTCATTTCTGAGAAAATATTTACAGGATTGTGCTGTAACTGTCAGTGGGTTCTTCAGCAGGAAGAGGACATTAGTTCAGCCTATCCCTGCAATATCTGCAAGAAGACCGATGGGAGGGGAGGCACCATGTCCCCAGTGTGCTTACTTATCTGCTAGGCACATCAGGGATAAGATGCCTTATGAGCCACATGGCATAACTTTCTACACAGTGTGAGTTATCATGCCATGCAAACCCTCTGGCTGTCAGGATAACTACTTTTCTGATTTACAGGTAGAAGCTATTTTAGATGTCTCCAGGGATGAAAGTTATAACTGCTCCTAGAGGTTAGTACAGAAATACATGATTTTATGTTGCAGTTGATGGATACCAGTGCATCTATCCTACCCCACCCCCCACCCCCAAAATGCCAGCTCCTTCTAACACAGTTCTTTTGTAGGTATTTCATTGTTGCTTTTAAAAACCCTACAAATGCATGTTTGAAAGCTGAAAGGTTCTGTGGCAAGAAAATGTACTTCACACAGAATACTCTAAGTCAAACTGTGTGGTTTGTAAGAATGTGTACTGCTGCCCCTGGTATTTCATCCCTATTACAGGTTGAGCTGAAGCTGAGAGAGTACCTCCAAGCAATCCTGCAATGTTATCCAATGATTTAAACCTACAACCAACATTGCAGGATGGGCTGAGAAAATAATATAACAACCCTGCTTGTTGCAGGCTTGAGGGCTGAAGAACAGGCTGCAGCTGACCTGCAATGTAATTTGCCTTAAATTTCCAAGCCAGAGGTGGAATTAAGGCTGGTGTGAATTCTCAGTCAAAATTCACCCATACCTCTGTACCCACAGACCTTCATCCAGGGCTAATTAAGCACTCTGCTGCATAAGAAAAGTCATATTGGATCAGACAAGTGATCAACCTAGCCTAGCACTCCATTCACATGGTTGCAAACCAGCTGAACACAATCTCTCAAGCAGGACAGGTACAGCTCCCTCTGCCCAAACTCCTTAGCAATTATTGTACATAGGCATACAGCCTATGATACCAGAGGTAGCACACAGCCATGAGGCCTAGTATCCATTGATAGATTTCTCAATAAATTTGTCCAATTCCCTTTTAAAGGAGTCTAAGTTGGTCACCATCACTACTTCCTATGGGAGTGAACTCCATCATTTCATTATACAAATTGTGAAGAAGTATTTCCTTTATCTGTACTGAATGGGATGATCCTGGGTTCTAGTACTATGAGAGAGGGAGAAAAATGTCACCTTTCCCACTTTCTCTACACAATACATTATCTGAAACAACTGTTGTCATGCTTCCCCTTACTTTCCATTTTTCTAAATTAAACAATTCCAGCTGCTGTAACAGTTTCTCACAGAATTTCCAACTCCTTGATCAGTGTTGTTGCTCTTCTCTGCACTTTTACCAACTCAAAATTCTTTTTTAGCTGCAGTAATCGGAACTGTACACAGCAATGAAGTACTGTTGCAGCAAAGATTTGTATAAGAAGCATGCAGAAGCCACAGACTCCATTAAGCTCCATGCAGACTGCCTGTAGTTTTGAGATCTAAATCCTATACACCCTTACCTGGGAGCAGGCCCAATTCAACTGTGTAAGCATACATAAGGTTACACTCTATTTACAGCTGCGTAAGCATACATAAGGTTACACTCTAAATGTTAAAAAATTAAAAACAAACAAAACTATCCCTTCAAGCCCTGAACAGGAGACAAGTTGCCCTTTGATACTTTTACTTTTTTAAATTCTACTTTCCCCTTTAGTCACATATTCAAACAAAGCATCCAGTGCAGGGCCAGCCTGAAAGATTTTGTTACAAAGTCACATTTGTATTACTCTAAATACCAGTCGCCAGGGGAAAACAATGAGCAAGAAATACTGTCTTCGAGTCCTGCTTCTGAGCATCTCAAGGCATCTGGATTGGCCACTGTACAAAGCAAGATCTAGATAAGATGGAACTTTGGTCTGGTTTTCCGATCTTATGCTTTATTGCCATTTCAGAAGCCTGTATTATCTTAACATAAAGCCACTGACCCTTGTTTTCTAATTCTTGAAATAAAGACAAAAAAATTATCGTGAGAAGTGGAAAAACATTATTGCATAATGAGAAGTGTGGGCGAAAGGAAACGACAAACCCTCGGGCTTCCTGACTATATGCATTTATTACTTTTGATTTCTTTCCTACTAAAAGGTTTCATTATAGTGCCTCCCACGCACATTACTGGGCACTGTTAAGATGCCATGGAGGATTCCCGCACATCCTTCCAAGGTGAAGGCCTGGACCTCCCGATCCTTAAGTGTAATTACTTGGAAGGAACCCCCCAACCACGTCCCAAATGAAGCATTCCCAGAAGAGCAGCCTGAATGACACCATCCACCTCCTCTGGCACAGAGGAATAAAAAAATGAGTGTGAGAGAAAGGAAGTAGGAGCGTAACCAAAAAGGGAATCGTATAAGGAGAAAGAGGCATGGCCCCTCAGCTATAGTGATCAAGAAGAGGGGTGGGGGAGAAAAGAATTTCTCGTTTCATACCCACGGCGACCTGAGGTCGCTAGGAAGCCCCACCGTCCCCCTCGACGAGACACGACTCTCGCTCACAAGGCCAGGGGAGAAAGCGACGGGGCCCAGGCTCCCATTACCTTGTCCTCCAGCGTTCCAGAAAGTCCGGGCCTATCTCAAAATCCACGTTCGTCTCCGTACTCTGCGCGCGCGCACTTTCGCGCGCGAGCACCACCCTCACTGCTATCTCCCAACAGCCCCCGCTCTAACGATCAAGCACCGCGGCCGGATCATTGGCTGGTTTGAATGACTCAGCTATACGCATGCGCCGCAGACGCCAATGCTGGAACTACAACGCCCAACATGCAACGGGGTCTGGTTAATCGTTCGCGGCCTTTGCTGCAGCGCGGTCTTGCATTCTCGGTGGAGTATGAGTTTACTTATTCTAGAAGTCCTTTCGATTTCTGTGGGTCTGGCTTTTACATAGCACACTTAGAATCGAGACTCATATCGTTCAAAAAAGGCTTCAAGGCAGGCTTTTCTCTTTCTCTCCCGGGTGCGATCATGGGGCCTAAGAGTTTTTGAACACGGCGCTAGAATCAAAACTATTTCTCACGTTTGGAGCGCAATCTTAGGCAATTTTGCGGGGGAGCCTTACAACTTCAGAGAGGCTGGCTAGAGCATGCTGGGAGCTGTAGGACTCTTGGCTATGTAAACATGCATTGGATTGTTGCCTTATTTTTATGAGTCAGAGTGGCTCGATCTCCTGGACGCAAAAATTGCTGTGCTAGGGAAGGCGTGGATGTTCAGGACTTACACTTAACCGCTTGGAAGCAGCGGGGGAAAGCCAGCGTAAAATTGCCTCGAGGATCTTCAATGAACAGTCACCTATGAATAGGCTTCCACTTGGAAAGGAGTGTTCCATGCTGGAGTTCACCCTGCCTAGATCAGACATGACCCCAAAATTCTTGAGTTCAACGGGAATGTGAATACGAATAAATTTGTAATAAGGAAAGTTTGAAATTTCATGTTTAGAAACAAGCTATAGGCAAGTCTTCTCTGTAGTGGCTCACTTCCCTCTACTCTATAAATAAACCCCATCCTAGTTTTATACATACAGGAGTCATCCTTTCACCCTGAGAAATCCAAATCTGCATTCATGAACACATTCCCACGAATGTAGCAGAAAATATCAGATTAGCATCATGTTCCTCTACATAGAAATTATGTTCTGATACCTGAGTTAATTTGGATCCAAGTTTCCTTTAAAGCTCCAATATGAAATAAATACTTCCCTTACTGTAAATATACCTGTGCATAAACATGGAACAGGAATTCTGTATTTTTGCACCCTCCCCTTTCTTATAATCATCTTATATTAAAGTTTGCTCTAGATTTCATCTTAACTTCTGTTTAGTTCTCACATATAGAGAGATACATATATAATATATACACAACTTTCTCCATGTGTAACAATCATAGTGCTGTTGGTAGAAACAATACATACTAACCATTTTGACTGTCAAAAGCCTTTGTACTGCTTTGAGTTCTTGGATCCTGGCATATTTGCATTTTCCCGTGTTCAGGAAGAAGGACAATTCACCTCCAAAAGAAAAGTCAAAGTGGTGCCAGATGGAAATTAACAAAAAAGTGTGTGTTCTTTTTTGCTGGAGAAACACACTGTCACAATCTGAGGCCTCCTAGTTGAAGCAACACAGAAGCAAGTTGAGAAAAGTTTATAGATGAGAAGAAAAGTGGTGCAGAAAACCTTAGTTCAGTGTTAATCGGTCCACCTTGCACTTACAGCAGATCAGCCACAAGCCTGCATTCAGAGAAAGATTTAGCAAGTGAAAAAGGAGGGAAACAATCAAGACAATACTAAGTCCTGTGACTACTGGGGTCCATGATTGCCATAATTTCTTCTACTAGTTCTGCATTCATTACTTTTCTTCAAGAGCCTGTTTTTCAACTATTTATCATCACTGTCCTGCAAAATACTCCTTAAGTATCTTCTGGTATGGTGAACCAGGTCCAAGGCTTGCAATAAGCACAACGGATCGGAGCTATGGTTTCCACAGGTTACAGAGGATCACAACATGTTCTTATTGCCCTACTTAAAATGATAGCATACAGTTGACATGATGGTGGATCTGGGTCATGTAAACTGATGCTGTGTAAACATGCTGTGTTGTCTTCTGTACTATGGAAACTATATTGAAGGAATGTGACAGACAAAAGAATGTTTTGTGAAATGCTGGGAAGGCAACATTTAAAGTACACAAAATTTTATTGACATTCCATATGAATTAAAATCATTTGGCTTCATACAGAGATTTTTACAAGGAAGGAAAAACTATTTTAGATGTTAAATACCAAAGGTAAAAAGCAAACTGAAATTGGCCAATGAAGAGGCCAAGAAATGGAAAGTAGGATTAAATCTACAAATCTATTGGCAGTTAGTCTCACTGAGTTCAATGTGAGTTAATCCTGAGAAGACATGTTCAGGATTGCAGTGGGCTTCTATTCTTTAAAACTGACCAGTGTAATGTGGGGAGGTGAACCACATGTATTGAAAGTGACTAATAATAACAGTGTCAATAACACTTCTATGTGGATGTGTCTAAGATCAGATGAGATTCTGAACAACTTCATTTGAAGTTACAAATATCAATCCACAAGTCTGATTTTAAAGTAAATGCTTTACAATGATTTACTATACTTCTCAATAGAAAGAATGTCTATGAAACATGGTCAAGGGGTGCAGAATAGCATAATTCCCAGGTTCAATCTTTATGTTCTATTTGGTTTTCTTTTCTTTAAATGGGAAGACTAGATGGTAAAGCTGTCCTGCTTAAGTGCATTTGTTTCTGGAATAAAATGCCATTGCACACATTAAATATAAAGTATCTCCATTGGCTTTTGAGGAAATGGTTCAGAATCAACATTTCTAAAATATTAGTTAGCATGAAAATATGCACCCTGAGCCTGTTATTTACGGGGACCATATGGGGTGTAATTGCCCCCCATTCTCTGTTTAAAAAACATCGTAAAGGTGATTTTAGCTGGATTGCAGTTCCTTATTGAATTTTAAATCGCCCTCTCCATTAAGATCCTGAGCTAACCAAGGAACAGGTGGCTGTGATAAACCACGTAACGGCGCCTGCAATTTAAATAACACTTGATGAAGTATTTACTTTTTGTTTAAACGATTAGCTTCCTCCTTTCGGCACATCGGAGGCTGCAGGTGTTTCTTAGCGCCGGGATGAACGCTCAGATCAATCACGGCTTGGTTATAATGTCACATTTCTATTTAAAAAGGAGCTGGCAAAGGTACTTCGCGTGAGATCTTGGCATTTAGCAGAATACACCTCCAACTCTGGAGAAAGCCCATTTCCGGAAACACTTGTCGCCTCCCGAGCGCTTATTAGGGGACGTTCATCTTCTTTTCAAGCAACTAGCTCTCCACCCCGCCACGAACGGCTTTGATCCGATTGCGTTTGACATTTGCAAGCTTTTACCCGAGTTTGTTGTGTAAGGGCTTATATTTTCTATTCATTTTAATGAGGGGGGGGGGAGGTCGTCCTGATGGAGGAGACGACGAGAACGGGCCCCATCTGTGGTTTTACGACAAGGGCAGCGAAGTAGCTGCGTCAAAAGCGAGGAACCAGGATGCGGATCACGTAGCCTGCTTCTTAAGCATCGCGATCCCGAACCAGTTAAAGCCCTTTGGCTCGTTGGCAGGCAGCTTTAGTTGCAGAACCTATCGATTTCAAAGCAAGAGTTCCTCCAACGAATATTTTATTTCACCGGTGCTACCTAATGGGGCTTGTTGGCAGGAAATGTGCTTGCATCAGAAAACAGGACTAGGGACCGAACTAGGGCGGAGGGGAGAAAATTCCACCGAAATCGACGGCATTCAGCTCAAACAAACTTCCCCGGGATCGGGATGGGTGCCTCCGAGTCCTGCCCTCTTCAGAAGCGCGAAGAGCCGATGGCTTGGCGTGCGGTTTGGAGGCTGAATCGTAAAGCTAAACTGCATGGATGCTAAAACTACAAGGCACATGTGGAAGAAGCGGTTATTTGCCATTTGGACTCAAACCAAAATCGCTTCTCAAAGACCCTTTGTCTAGAAGGATAGTACCTTGGATAATCATCGACTGAGTATGAATCCAGTCGTGTAGTCCTGGGCATGTGTACTTAGAAGGCAGGCAGCATAAGAAGCCCGGTTATCTCCGAGTAATTCTTGTTGAACTCGGTGAGTCCTACTGCTCAGCAGGCGCGCTTAGAATGATGCCCTGCGTCCTGTTTAATGCAATGGGACTAATTCTTCCCAGGTACGCGGGAATAAGAGCCAGGGCTTCTCAAAAGAGGTGAACCTTTCCTATTTCCCCCACTTTGTTTCAGTCGGATCCTCACCATATATGGAAATAAGTCTCGCTGGTTTTGGCAGGGCAAGTTGGAACTGGGCCGCAAAGGTACGTTCCTTGTGAGCCCAGGCAACGCCGAACTATTGATAGCTCAATATTTCTTTTTTGTTTTGATCAGCCTCCATCTACTCCTGCTCGATCGATTTCGTTCTGCTGTTGTCACATTTGGGGGGGTAAGAACACCGTTGCAGATGGTTCAAGATCGCCCTATGAGACCCCCTCTCCCCAGGGAAAGAACCTGCTGGCCACCAAGAGGAAACTTTTCACCTCTTTCAAAACTTCCTGGCTTCTTGTAGTGAAAGGGGTTTCTGTGGCTAAGGCACTTGCCTTTCCGCGAAAAATCCGGGAAAAAGCAAGGAGGCCGATCATAAACAAGCAATCTGACAAGGGTTACCAACGACATTTAAAATGCTTTATTTTCTTTAAAAATATGTACAGATCTCAAATACGCTTTTTAGTTTCTTCAATTTCCCGCGGATATCATATTGGAGGCGAAAGAAGAGCGTGAGAGCCTGGAAGAAGAGACTCGAAAATGGCTGAGCGCTCGTGCGCCGCGGACTTTCCTACCTGCACGCGGAGCCAGAGCCGCGCGGCGATCAGGCGGTCGGGTTTTGCCTTGCCTTTAAAATATGGGTTGTGGCTGCATGGCGATTGGTTTTATTTCAAAGTCTGTTCCAAGTCGGAATGACAGTTTATGTCTGGACAGGGCTGAGCCCAACACGAGAAGGGTGGAGTGAATATCACACTCTCCACGCCAGCCTAGAAAATAACCAAACCAACCTAGAGAGGATTCCCATAAATTAAAAATGAATAATAATA